TGAGTTAAAGTTATTTTGAATTGTGTCAAATGACTGAGATTTTGCAAATTTTTTACTTAGTAATGTTTTTAAATCATCAAATGACATATCTTTACACGATTCATTATCAATTACAAATTTTAATGCTTTACCCCTCAATTGAATTTTTAACACCAAACTTTTTCTGTTCTCATTCCAGTTCTCTAAATTTGCCATTTGGCATAACTGATCTAAAAAAAATGTTATATTTTCGTCATGCTCCCCTGAAAAAGTAGGCAGAGCAGTAGCCAGACTCATATTCATTACATTATTTTTCTTAGCCATTCGGAATCAATTTACTACCCTTTAGTACCACTATAAATTACTATTATTATTACTTCTAATATATAGTACATTCATAAATACACTATTGTAACTTATCGAAATTTTTTCACATGGATACAAGTTATTACATACTCCATTACCACACAATATGATATACATTCAGGAATAATTTTTTAAATACTGACCAATTTTGAATTGATATTACCATTTTCACATATCTATTTTTTATCATTAAATTATTTCACATTAGCAGGAAACATAGTCATATGGAATTCTATATATTATATATTTTTACATATGCAATTTTCAACTTAATCTTTCTTAATGATTCATATCAGATAACACAAAATTTAAAATTTTTATCCAATCATTACTAATATTCACCTATTTGATATCAGACATAATCACAAAATTCAAAATATTTAAGCAATTATCAATAGTATTCAACTGGAATCACATGTGTAGTTATATTTTTAGGCATAAGCATAAAATGGTTCTCTACCTGAAATCAAACAGTTAAAATTTAAATTCCTTTTTTTTTTTTTTTTTTTTTTTTTTTTTGTCACGGCACCATAAATGTGCCTTTATTATTATTATCCTGGTCACGGCACCGTATATGTGGTGTTGCTGGCCGTGATCGTATGAAAGTAATTATACTAAGAGTATCAAATGCGAATTAATTCCGCATAAAAGTTAAACTAAAAATTTAGTGGTTAGTACATTGCATGAATTTTAATAATACGAATAAAATGACTTACCCAATAAGGCATGCATGACTCATTCGCTCTCTTTCAAATATACGTTTATTAAATCACAAAAACACACATCTCTTGATTAGCCTAGATAAATCACAAAAACACACTTTTCTTGATTAGCCTATATTCGATATGTTATAAGAAAAAAACACATTCATGAATGCCCTTCGGCATGTCCTACTCGTTAGTCCTACGGGACTGTCACAGCGTTCATTTTTTACGGTATATTGCAATTCCTAATCCTGATGAATCGATGGCACATTACTTATCAGCATCTTGCAAGAAGCTTAATTAATATGCAGTGCAATTACTCGTGATAGAAGAGATCAAATTTCTGGTAGATAGGCTTGAAATTGGCGCACATGGTCGTCACTTCGAAACATCCAATTGTCAGGATTATACACGTTGAGTCACAGCACAGGAACAATTTTTACCTTGCAGCCTAATCAGTAAAGTTTACCTGAATTCTTATATTCTTCGTACAAGAACATGTTTTCTCCTCCATCCTTGAAAATGGACATCAGATCGAGTACCGTGGACGATGGCAAGAGCTGTGTGTGTGTGTGTGTGTGTGTGTGTGGCCGGCCCGAAGGCCCACACACTCGTCAACACGACAACAGGCAGAAAGAGGAAGACAAAACCAGTCCTTCCAGTTTTTATCCACTGCGATGCACGTGGCAGGGTGCAATAACGATTTAAGAATCGATACAGCCACCGTGTTGACTGTGAGAATTCTGTGTTCTCACAGCTATTTTTATTGTTGCTGTTATATTATTTTAATGTCAAACTTTTTCTGCCTACACTATTTAGACCGCTTTCATAAAATTCTCCATTTTATTTAAAGAAATTTTGTATATGGAAATAATGGTAAATTAAATTAGTGTCCTGTATGCATAATGAAACTTGGCAACATCAAAAACAAACAAGCACCAAACTAATAGGGGGACTGGAAAGTAATGTTGTTTCTGCGCATGTCGACAACAACATGCTAAGGGCAGAAGTGGAAGCAAATGCATGTCAAACACTCTTAACCAACCTTGGTGGACCATCCAAGAACATTTAAAGCAGAATGAAAAATAAGCAAAGCAGTTGTTTAAGTCCCCCATAATCTGTCCCTGTCTGAAAAGAACAAAGCCACTCTATCCATCACATGCAACGTATTGCTTCAACTGCACCATACAGAACCGTTTTTTGATCGTTTGGTTAGTGGAGACAAAAAAAATAAGTCCTGTGTGATAATCCAAAACTCAAAAGGCAGTTTTAATAGGGGTTACAAAGGGTTTACATCCCGAAAAGGCGCTTCTGTGTGTTTGATGGAGTATTCGCGGAATTGTTCATTTTGAATTGCTGAAACCTGGACAAACTGTTAATGCAGACCTTTATTGTGAACAACTGGATGGAGTGAACCAATCTTTAATTGAAAAATATCAGTTTTCAACAGAGAAAGCGTCATTCTGCAACGCGACAGTGCAAGACCGCACTGTGCAAGGCGAACACTGGAAAAAATTAATGAATTGGGGTGGTAGATACTGCCATACTCACCCACCATACTTGGCTGATACTGCAGCATTGGATTTCCATTTATTCGGATCCCTACAACATTTTCTTAGTGGCTAAAATTTGAAAATTTGGATGATGTCCAAAACGTCTTCTTGAGATATTTTACTCAAAAACCAATTGATTTTTATCAGTTCGGTATTGAAAATCTAAACATTAAATGGCAAAAGGTTGTTGAAAGCGAGGGTGATTATATTATTGATTAAAAATAAAAACTTGTTAAAAATGTATTCGTTTGAATTTAATGTAAGAAAGCGACATTACTTTCCAGTCCCCCTATTATATATTGGCAAGAGAGGAGTCTACTTAGCTGCTGATGCAGAAGTCTTAAAAAGATTTCGTGCTTCATATGTTACCTTCTTTTATGAAATATACTCTTGATAATATTGCCTAATAGGTAACCCTGAAGCTATTTAAAATTTACAAATGAGTATCTTGTAAGTTCTTTATTTCAACACTTCGATTTAAATTTTTGTAAAAACTGTTAACTTTGATTTGTATTCTATTTGTGTTCCATTTGAACTAAGCAAACACTCTAACTTGTTAAATCAAGATTTAATAGTTATTCTAACATGATTCTTTAATAAAACTGTACTAAATGGAGGATAGTGTACTCAAATGTCTTAACTGTGTTAAATGCATGACATATCAAATATATTATAAATGTTTAAAGAAAAAATCTAATGTTGTCACCATGTGATTTCCTTGTCACCATGTGGTCTATCAAATTATGCACATTTTTTGCTGCACTTCATTTAAACTTATTTCCTTGAATTATTCTAACTTAATTAACTGATTTCTCGAGGCAAGTTGAAAATAACTTTGAAAACTGCAAATTTTGAAACTAAATATCCTGGCCATTTTTTGTTGTATGGGAGTCAAACTTCTTAGAATTTTATTTTTCATAATGAGTGTAAACTTTTCCAGATCTAAATATAGGAACCAGGAAACTGCACTAACAATTAATTTTCATTATTTGTCAAAAAAAAATTTTTTTTTCTTCTTTTAAAATGTCACATTGCCAAAAGATAAATATTTTCAGCATTTAAAACACTTCTGTACTTGGAAGTATATAGCAATGATCAACAATTGTGAAAATAAAGGCCAGGTAATATGGTAGGTATATATGTATATATATTTTTAGTAGTGCTGATTGGAGAAAAAATGGGAGTTGCACAAGTAGATGCCATAGCAGTCCTGTATACAAAATTTTAGTGTTGTACAGCAAATCGTTTTTGAGCAGTCGCATATACAAAATTTTAATGTTCTAAGGCTAATCATTATGTGAAATATATGCATGCATATGTATGTACAGGGTGGTGCAGGGAAACGGGAAATTTCGAAGTAACGTCATTTCCACAGATAAATTCATAAAACTAGTAATTTATTAACGAAAGTGCATGCATTCAGCATGCCATTTATGTTTTTATAATCAAAATGTCCAAAAGTGTCTCTTTCCTTTTAAAGATGACATCGGAAAGATGTGCTCCCATTCGGCATTCACACTCTAACAGCCTGTTAGGAAAACTCTGGAATGCGCGGTGTAGCAAATCTTGGGGAATGGCAGTGATTTCTTTTTCAGTGTTCTCCTTCAGTTCATGGATTGTTGCAGGACATGTACGGTATACCTTGCCTTTAAGATATCCCCACAGGAAGAAGTTGCACGCACGAAGATCAGGGGATCTCGCAGGCCATTCAATGTCACCGTTACATGAAATAATATGTCTTTCAAACAATTGATGTTAATCCCTATCGTCACTTAATCCCTAGCAAAGATGCATGCTGTCGAATGAAGCGGCGAGGACTTATCTCGATTGCAGCTCTAACATCTTCGGTGTTCTCTGGGGTACGTACTGTTGGAATGCCTCCTGGAGGTTTCTTTTTCAAGACAGATCCTGTTTCTTCAAAATTACGCACCCATGTCGTAATCGCATGCACAGATGGAACACGTCCATGACGTCCAAGCTGGTAATGCTATCGAAATCTCTGTGCGGCAGTCGCACTATCACCATTTTTATAAAATGCTCTCACAGCTACTGTACGTTCTGCACCAGTCCAGTGATACCTGATTACTAAATGGCATTACGCTCACAACAGTTGTGCAGAGTTTCGAACAACTGCCGGCTCTACAGTGCTGCGAACTGTAACGTTCAAAATTTCCCGTTTCCCTGCGCCATCCTGTATTATACAGATGTCATGAAAAAGTACCTTTTGAATCCATTTCAAAACTGTTTGACAATCTGTTTTGGAAAAAAGAGTACTTTATTCTGTCTCCACGTACAGACGTCATGCAAAAAAATTGTTCAGATCAATTCGAAAACAGTCAAAATGGATATTTCTGTTGAAATATTATATACGAAATTTTCCGGAATTTGCTATCTATTTCAAACACATTATATATTATGTAAATATTATCATGCAGTACTATCATTTTTCAAAGTATGCTTAATATATGTGTGTCCAAATTCTTTTTGCAGGTACATGCTCATAAACAAAAGCTTGTCTTAGGAATAACTGAAGAAGGTCTGCTATTACAGTGGCTTTTACTTGATTTTCATATTTACTAACTGAAAAGTGAATTTTTTAAAGCATGATTTTTTAAGAATAACTCTTTCCATCAAAAATAAGTATTTTTTCCTTCACTATATAATCATAAAGTCATTTATGTTGCATTTAATTATCATACAAGTTACATAAGCTTATTTATGTTAGTTTTAATTACAGTTTAATAAAATTAGCTTGACACTGTTTTTTTTGTTCGTTTTTATTGAGCAAATAATCAAAATGTTTTATTTTTATTTATGAGACTAGCAGCTTTGCTGCCAGCCTTCGTCTGGCTTTTAAATGTACCGGAAAAATGGCTGAAGGGAACACAAAACATTAAATTTAAAAACTGTGTAGAATTGTACTCTGCAGAACAACTTCATTAAAAAAAAAAAAGTTATTACGTATAACAAAGTTACAATGAAATAAGCAATATCCCTTAAAACAAATATTAATTATCCTAATAAATAAATTAACCAACTTCCCTTTGCAAAATCTTAAGAACTCAAATGGTATAAAAGGAGGTTAAGAACTTTGTTTACTAAAAAAAAATCACTCAAAACTTTTCAATATCTTAAAAACAGTGAAATGTCAAAAACAAAAAAATTCTGAAAAGTATAATTAATGATATTTTATCTTATATTTTCAAGAGAAAAAAAAAATTACAATGAATAAAGCTATATATCCCTTAATACAAATATTAATATCCTAAAAAAAAAAAATTAAGCAACTTCCGTTGAACAAAAAAAAAAAAAATCATGCAAACTTTCATTCAGCATCTTACAAACAGTGAAATAAGCAAAAAAATAACATGAAAGAAACTCAAAAAATAAAAAACTCTGCACACAATTTTACTCTGCAGAACAACTTTATCAAAAAAAAAATCAATAAAATGTACTATATATATAAAAAAAATGACAATGAAATATGCCAATCTCTTAAAAACAGTGACATAATACAATGAAAAATTGTTGCCAAACCCATATTTCTAAAAGAATGAAACCATTCAAAATGATGTGATTTCATCAAAAATCTATCAACAACAATAAGAAAGGAAAATAGTTCCAAAATCACATTTTTAAAGATGTGAGAAGTGTACTCGGAAGCTTCATTTAAGAATTTTTTTTAAAAATACAAAATATTATCATTTTTCCAAAATTCTTTTTATAAAAGCAGTCGCAAGGATGAAAGTTTAACGTGTCCAAAAATCAAAGAAAAATAAACTGTACATTTTTAAGCATAAACGTTTTTAGAAAAAATCCCATTGTAAAGGTGTTAAGTTCACTTTGTTAAATAAACTCATATTTAATCGATTTATTGAAACACAAAATTTATTTTAAGTTTGTAAAATAGCTAAGTGCTTACGTTTCATGACGATGTGAAAATTGAGTGTGTAGAGTAAAATCTCGCTTTCCTATAACCCATTATGTGTCAAAATGACACGATTTGATCACAAAACATTAAAAAAAAATTCTAATTCTAATTTCGAAAACATCGCTTCGAGGTGCACTGGCTCTTGTCTAGATGCAACTATGTACCAAATTTCGTAGCTTTGGGTCTATTAGCTTATGCGCAGCACGAATGAAAGACTTACACAGACAGACTCTTTCTTTTATCATATGTAGGGATTATTACTATGAGATTATTCTCATAGTATCAAAAAAGAATTAAGAAGCAAATCCTGCATATTCCAAATTAGTTTTTAATTATATGGTTTAAAATTTTAATCCAATGCATTTTTCAAAGTTTGGGAAATAATTCTAATTTTGAATCGCCATAAATTTAGGATTACATTTTTACCTCTGGAGAAAATTCCAATCTAAAAAAAACAAGGTTTTAATTTTTGAAGGTTAATAAATGTTACTATTCCTTTTATATCATGTTTAAATTATTTAAAAGTGTTTTCTGTATTTGCATTAATTAATAATGTTTCTAATTTTGACCAAGCTACTATCAAATATTTTGCATATTTGTTCCGTGTATATAATGAGGGCAGATCGAAAACTAAGTTGCACTAACTGGCCGCAAGAGCGCGCTGTGTGTCGTAATATTGGGCAATGCAGAGGAAGAGACATTAACTAACTGCTCAGATGTCTGATAGGAAGGTTGGTACAGTTTCCCATCTTGTTTAGTGTGGATAGTGAGCTAAAATCAACTGCTCAGACGTCTGATAGGAAGGTTGGTGCGGATTCCCGTCTTGTTGTGTGTTGATAATGGGCTAAAATCACACATCAACTGGATGCTCACTCCAAATTGGAGGTGCATGCAACAATCAGATTCCTGTGGGCCAAAAGGATAAATTACATGGACATTCATCATGAAATCACTGCTGTATATGGTGAGCGCACAATTTCACAGCAAAGTACTGCAAAGCGGTGTCAAGAATTTGAAGCTGGGCACATGGATATCACGGATCAATATCGCAAAGGGAGGCCCACAATGTCCAGTAACTTTGCAAATGTTGACTGTGTGGAAGCGATCATTAGAGGGAATCAGCGCATAAAACTGTGGAAAATTTCCAGCATGCTGAACATTTTGTATGGCAGTGTGTTCTCTATTATTCACAAGGACCTTGGATTTTGTAAACTGTGTCAAAGATGGGTCCTAGGGCTTCTCATCAACAATCACGAGAAACAACATTTTGAATCCTCACTGGTATTTTTGCAACTGTATTCTGCAGAGGACAATGAGTTTCTAAAGCGAATTATTACAGGGTATGAAATGTGGGTCTACCACTTCACCCCCAAAACGAAGAGAACATCAATGGAATGGGTGCACACCTCATCACCACAAAGAAAAGGTCAAGGTCAAGGTAAAAGAAGGTCAAGGTCCAACCTTCGGTAGGAAAGGTGATGGCGACAGTGTTCTTTGACATGGAGGATTTGGTGCATGTGGAATTTATGCCAAAAGGTACAACAATCAACTCGGCTACATATTATGAAATGTTGAACCGCTTGGAATTCGGAGAAATGTTTAGAGTCTCTTTGGAACTATGTGGAAAAGTGAACTGTACATTGTATGCTGCTGTTATAGCCATGCTCTTTTGTATTGACAATTTAATAAATGGTCATAAATTGGAAGTGCAGCTTATTTTTTATCTGCCCTCGTAAATACATGCATATACAGTAACAATATGAAAAACATTTGATAATTTTTATATATGCATATAAAGTGTGTTTATCATTTTAGAAGTATTTTAATATTATTTTCGTATTTACAGCTGATGAAGGGGATTGGTTTCCAAAACAGAGAATAAATATTGCTTGTAGAAAATTGGAAGGAATTAATCCATGTTATGCTACAAGGTTATTTTTTAAATTTCATAATATAAACATTTTTTCATTTACTTTTGGCATGCGATTTTATTTTAATCTTAATTTGTTTTTAAACTTGTTTATTTTTGAAGAATACGTTTAGCAACAGTTTCATTTTTACTCTTTGTCTTCTTATATCTTCTTTGTTGTTTATTTATTTTCATTATGTCTTGCAACAGAAAATTGAATTTTTCTTTATTGAATATTTTTAAGAATCTTTGTAAAGGTGTAAGCATAAGAACTCTTTCTCACATTGAACTACTTGAAGTTTCTTGTTACAGCATTTTTCTTTGTTGTGTCAAATGCATTAAAATTTGTACAATAAGGTTAAAGACATGAAATTTTTTTTAGTTTTAATTTGAATGTACGAAAATTTGTGTAGCTTTAGCATATAGATAAACAGGCTTCTTCAAAATTTCTTTTTGGGAAAGCAGATAAAAAGAAAGGGGTAATAGGAAAACAGTGAAAGTAATTACTAATTATTATAATTGTTATTGTAGTTGTTGCTACTGTTATTATTTATAACTTTCTAAAGATTTAAATAACCTTTTACTGTGCTGATTAGCATAATTTGTTTTGAGTTATTTAGTGCTTTGAAGGCTGAGCACTTTTTTTTTTATTATTTCTCTCACAGGACTGTTATCTGGTGTATATTTTGCATAATTTTTTAAACAAATCTTTAAATATCCTGCAACAGTTTCTTCAACAATGTGAAAATGTATTCCTTTCTTTCCATATGTATATTAATAAAAAGTCAAATAGCATTTGAATAAAAATACTTCTTGTAGATTTGCTTAGTGTAGCCTTCATATTTTGTAATGCCTTAAAAATTGTTTCTAAGACACATCTTTGCATGAATTAAATGCAGATTTATTTTTGTTGGGTTTAAAAGACTTTGACATAAAATATTTTAAAGTCTATTTAAATAATCCAATCATGATCTTTATAGTTTATTTTTGTGAGAACCAATTCTTATAACATGCTTTAATGTGAACCAAATGTTTAGTAGTTATAAAGGTATAATTGTTTTCATTGTGCAAAAGAATAATGTTTGGATTTATTTTTAAAACAAATGAAAAGCCCTCCTTATTATTATTATTATTATTATTATTATTATTATTATTATTATTATTATTATTATTATTTGCCTTGAAGGCAAAAGTCAAGAACAAATCTTAAAATAGATGCATTTTCAAATTCACAATGTTTTCAACACTCAAAATATATTAAAAACACTTTTCTAGTAATTTTGTTCTCCTGATGAGGAGAGACCTGTAGCTGCCCTCGAAACTGATTGAGTGTTTTAATAAATGTATGCGAAATACAAGGCTGTTATTGCGATTTTGATATTAAAAACAGTTGAAATATTAAAAGTATTATTTCATTAGAGGTCTGTTTAATTAAAAAATAACCAGTAATCACTTTCAATATTTCATGTATGCTTTAAACTAAAACAATATAGTTTCAAAAATATTTTATATCTACTTATTTCCATTATTATATACTTAATGTTGTTCATTTATTAATGAAGGTTTTTTAATATGGTATCCGATGATTTGAAGTGAATGACAGTGTATTTGGATAAATGCAATTAGAATGCATGAAAACATATTGTTTCATATTTTATTTTTAATGTTAAAGATGTTACAGCTTAAATTAATGAAATAATTACTTTCTATGTAGAGAAAATTATGTTATTCAAATGTTTTCATTTATTTATTTTTTAAAAATTATTTTTCCATGTACATGGTTCAAAGTTAATAGTGCTATTAAGCACCCTTCCTTCGCTGAAAAAAAAAAAAAATGCCTAGTGCGAGCGCAGTATCTACCTAACTCAGAAATTTAAGGACAGCAAATCCCACCCCCCGTCACATATACTAAAGAAAAAATAGTTTGTTTTATATTAGATATTAATGGACAAAAGGTCATTCTTTTATATTTTATATAGGTGGATAAATAGTCCTACATGACACTAATATCATTGCAAACAAGATAAAATTAAATTTTAGAATAAAAGAATTAATTGAAGGTAAAGAGAAAATTTTCTATCGTACATCGTTATCATAATTACTTACATATTTCTTCTTCTCATGTAATTTCCCCCTATTGTTTTCAGCATATGATTGAGAAACTTCTGATTTATGGTAACAATGTAAAATATTCTCACAAACAGGAAAATATTTTCTGTTGGTAAAAAGAATGTAATTGAAATTAATAAGTCCTTTAAAATACATATGGTAACATTAGTGTAACCTTATGTGTGTTTTTACTATGCTATGCATCACTTCAGAAATCACATATAGTGTGTAGTTTCCCCCTTCTGGTTTTTAATCATTATAATTAAGGCAAAAAGGAGAAATACAAGAGTAAATGCAATATTTCCTGCAGTAAAAAAAAAAAAAAATGTGTTCTGCATCATCTGCAAAAGTGACAAGAAAACTTTTGGCACTAGTATCAATTAGTATAATATTTATGTTACTTGAACATAGATACTGTTCATCTCTGGGATGGCCAAAATGCACTAGATAACTGTATTTTTTTTGGGGGGGGGTTGTGTCTGCCCGTGATATTCGTACTTGAACCTGTTGTAATTTTTTCCTGTTGGGATATGGCCCAACCGTGGCTGAGCAGTAAAGTCACTGAATTCTGAGATTCGAATCCCATGAATGGACTGGCTGCATAGGCATTTTTGTGATTTTCCCAATGTGTAACATGTATATGAGCTAGCTTTCTTTAGAAAGTCCTTCATGAAGGTATCTCTCTCCTTAGGCAGATAGCCCTAGTGTGCTTTACCATAATCTCAAACCAAACTTGCTGAGAGTCATCAAGGATACAGTATGTTTGCTACTCCAATTAACTCTCTGCGTTACAAAAACTTCTCCAGAATATGTGGGAGGCAATGTTACTCATGCCCGTGTTATCCGTAATTCACATGTGCCTCCTGGGTGGTTCTAAATGAGTAACAGCTACGGCAAAGGTGGCTCAGAGTAAAGCATAGGTTTCTTAATGAATTAGATTAGAGAACTGATGGAAATAAGACTTGAAAAATAATGAGTGCACTGAATAACAAAATAACAGGGAGAACTGATCACCTCCATCTAAAAAGGAAACAAAGATGTCTGTCAATATATTCAATAACTTCTATCTATCTTACTCACTCAGTAAAAAGCAAAAGAGGCAGGAAAAGAAATGCCAAAAACACAAAAGAAGTACTAAATCAAGAATAGTGAACTTAGACAAACTTTTTACAGAGGATTTCTCAATGGAGGAATTGTGAATACAGCTATCAAAGACATTCAAAACGGTAAACAACCAGGACCAGATAATATATTCCCAGAATTCATGACACATTTGAGGCAATCTGCAAGAAATTTCCTTTTAATGATTTACAATAAATTCTGGAATACAAAACTCAATCTTCCAGCAAACTGGCTGAAGCCAAAGATCATTCTGATTCTAAAGCCAGGAAAACCACCTGAAGGTATAGAATTGTACCGACCAATCTCACCGACTTCCATTATAGTCAAGATGTTTGAAAGAAGGATAACTGTAAGACTAAGGTTTTACCTGGAGTCTAACAAATTCTGTCAGAAGAGCAGACTGGTTTCAGAAAAGACATGTCAACTACTAATTCAATTTTGAAGTTGGTTCACAAAATTAAAATCGGTTTCAATTTGGGGAAAAGCTCTTTGGCTGTCTTTGTTGATTTCCAGGGAGCCTATGACACAATATGGAAAAGGAGATTTCTAAACAAACTTCATGCTTATGGAATCGGTGCAAAATATGTATAACTGGTACAAAAAGTTTTTATCCCAAAGATGGGCGAAGACCAGATAGAACGAGCAGGAATCAAATTATAAACAAAGTAAATTAGGTCTACCTGAAGGAGCAGTTAGCAGCTGCACTCTGTTTAACATTTATATAATTGATTTTGTAACCAAGTTAACAACCATTAAAGGTATTAATGTCTGTATGTTTGCAGATGATATTGTTATTTGGACAGAAGCAGAAAATTCCAGAAAACACAAAGACCAAAGCAAAAAAACTTTAAATTATAATGAATAAGTCCTGCAAAACTGATCCAAAGAGAACAATATGATTATAAATCAAAACAAAACAGTTTACCACTTCTTCTTTCTGAGACACATGAATACAGACTTTGAATTAAAAATAGACAAAGCTACTCTTTAAGAAAGCGTTAGTACCACATATCTAGGTGTAGTGCTGAACAACAAATTGAAACTTTACTAATCATGTAAATACTGTTATAGAAAAGTAGAGAAAAGATCCTTAATTTTGAGAAGACTAGCCGGTACCAAATGGAGAAGCTCACAGACTACCCTAAATAAAACTTACATTAAACCTCTTGTTTTCAACTATGGAAGTGAGGTGTTAATGTCTACCATACTAGGGAAGATTGACTCTTTGGAAAGAGCCCAAAGCAAAGCTCTTTGGATTATCACAGGAGCAATGAAAACTACCCCGATTACAGCTATGCAAAGCTATACCTCCAACCCTCCAATTGCTACTGAAATCAAGAAACAAGCAGTTAGTACATTCATTAAAATGAAAGCATCGCATTGGATAAACGAATGCAAACCAAGTACTATGAAGACCCAAATGTCTGCCCTAGAGGCACGTGAGAAATTATTACAAGAAATAGATGAAAACAAACCAGTGAATTGTAACAATGTCATGGTTAATCCCCTTGCGTATACTGATATCAAATACCAGCTAGATATGTATGACTTGGAAAAGAAAAACATTCCTGATGCAATATTAAAATCAAACATTATGTATGTTATATGAACAATATCCTGAACTGAATGGACTAGCGTATACACTGATGGCTCTAAAATACAAGACAACACTGGGGCTGGTGTATACAGTAAACTATTTTCCCATACTTCATGTCAAATTTTGATGCAGAGATTCTTGCAATCTCACTAGCTCTAGAAAACCTCAAGATAAAGATCGATTGTTTCTCTAAAGCAGTTATTCTAATCGATTCCAAAGCAGCCATCAAGGCTGTAGTTATAAATCATGACACAGATACCCAGATTATCTCAGAAATAAGACAAACCTTGAACTTTTGTTATAAATACAACAACAAAAAAATCATTTTTTAATGGATCCCTTCATGTGTAGGTATCAACAGTAACGAAAAGGTAGACTCAATAGCCAAGTGAGGAACACTTGTGCCACAAGACAGCAAACCACTTCCTCCAGAGTCATTTAAAAAGCATATTTTTGAGAAATTAATGGATATTCTTAAATCTGACCAGGCAGCAAAATCAACAGACAAATTCTGGGCTAACATTCAAGGCACACGGAAAACGTTTTCTCAAAAATCCCATAAACAGGCTGTGGCAAACTTCAGACTGCAAAAAGGTCACGACTGCATGGCACATCATCTTAATAAAATTGGCATCATTCCATCTAGTATATGCCAAATTTGCAATTCGGGCATCATGAATGCAGAGAATCTTCTTATATGCTCAGAACTAGATAAAGTATCTCAGAAACGTAGTGAGAATTGGAATGCCAGAGCTTTCATGAACTCCTTGTAAAGACTACATCTCTTGTGTGCTTTTCCTTGTTGTTTAAATTTTTAACTTTTTACTTTTGTTCCCACATTCATTTATTCTGATTCTTTCTTTATGGATGTTTGTCTTTTTTATTATTTATCATTGTTCGTGTGTGATACTTGAACTGTTTTATATGTTTGGATTGATTTTTCCAATAAAGCCATATGTAACAACATAAACATATTCCATAATTGTTGTGCAGCTCAACATCTGCAGCATGAAAATGACTGTTGGTTCATAGGAACAATCTAGTAATCTCAATTGATGGATCAACAATTGATTTCAATTTATAGGATCTGTCAATTTATTTACATGCATACAATGCTTGACATAACAAACTTATAATTTTATCCTCTCTAGTAATGCATAATTTTTTTTTTTTTTTTAAGTGTATTTTCATATATTTCTGTTTTCTTCAATGCAGAGAGGAGCTGAGACTTGGCCATGGTTCAAAATCAATATTTAGGAATTTGGAGTCCATATGCCTAGGTGATTCTAAGCATAACATACGTGCAAGATTAGGTGAAAGAGATCTTACTGTTGAAGAGCAGGTAATAATTTCCCATAAACCATCAGACCACAATTTCTGTTCATAACTAATGTTATATAATTCTGGTTTATCACAAAAAATTTATTTCTAAATGATTCATGTTTGTACATATGTATTTTTTATATTTAGGTTGACTGTCTAATCGATCAAGCCACAGATCCCCATGTTTTGTGTTCTTTATATCTAGGCTGGAAACCTTGGATGTGAATATGATGGCTATTTTTAGAAAAATGGTTCTTAAAATCTATGTATGTGTATATATATATATATTCTGTAATAATTAAGATTTCATTATTTTGCTTTTTAATCACAAGTAATGTTTGCATTTGTAAATATGTAACTAAATAAAAATATGTTTTGTTTCATTTCTGTTTTTTATAAACTGTGTTTTAAAAAATGTGTATAATAATAATTAATATAGATAATCCAGTAATTTAATATAAGTAATTTAGTGTTTTGGTATATTTCAATTTGTTCTGTATTTTTGCAGTATCTATTTGAGATATACGTTTTTTACCCTTCTTGATATGAATTTTAGAATGCTGTTAACAAGATAATTTTTTTTAAAATGGTAATAAATTTGAGTTTAAAATAGGTAGCATTTAAAAAATATTAGCTTGTTAAATAATTTCATTATCTGCGGAATGGTCTCTTTGCAAGAGGAAAAAAAAAAGTTTTAGCTGCCTTTGATTTTATAAAATATTTTATACTGTGCAGAATCATTTCGATTGCATACTGAATTCTTAAGTACTAACTAGTTTGATTTTATAAATCAATTTTCTTTCTCTTTTATTGCCATTTTTGTGAACATTAATAAGTGCCTGTATTTTTAATACAGATCTGAAATAGATGTAATATGTAGTCTGTTATTCTTTATGCATTCAAAATTATACAGCAGCTTTGATATATAAATTTGGTTTGCTTGTATGAATAAAAATTACAAAATAAAGAGAAGATTCTGCTTAATTTATATGCATTTTATAAAATTTTTAGTATTTGGTGTAATACTACTAAAATATATATTTTGTATATATGTGTTTGTGTACTTTTCCAACTTTGATTCGAGCTATGTAATAAATTCTTTTTTGAGAAAAATGTGTATTTGCAACTACCTTTATTTGTCTACTTTATGAAAGATTAGAAATATGCTTTATAAAAACTATAGTAATAGAAATTATTTGTACAGTACTCAATGTCTTGCACAATTTTTAAATACAACTTAATCAGTTTTCATTTGGGGAAAAGCTATTAAACTAATCATGAAAAGAAATTATCATGAATGACTTCTTTTTTTAAAGCATTTTGAAAAAGAAATAAAATTTTTCTTAAACAATGCTCATTTTATAATACATTTTATCATTCTGAACTTTCTTAATAGCATCTTTTAAAGTTTTTGGTTGTATATTAATTTTTGGTACTTTGCCGCAGTATTCATATGTTCCACAAATGTATAGTGACTGCCTTTTATTTAGTATGTAGAAGTTCTATTTCAGTTGTATTTCCACCATATCGATGAGGAAATTTCTTTGCACTTGGCTCAGTATTAAATATAAAAATAAATAAATAAATAAATAAAAAACCCGTATAAAAATAATTTGCAAAATATCTGAAAAAGACCATTATTTTCTCTCAAATTCATAATGCAAAATTGAAATAATGTAACAAGTTACAATCTGTGACAGAAATATAACATTAAATTTATGTTATAAAAGTTAAGTTGTTTTGACTTACGCATAACACTATTCTAGTTAGTTCCATTAATTCAAAAGATTTTTAAAGCATTTTATTTGTATTTTCACATATTTATATTGTATTTTTTATAGATTATTATTTTTTTCTCATATGGACTATCCTTTCTACAATTATGGATGCACAGCATACTTATCCATGCATTATTACCATTTTCAAGTCATTAGCACTATACATTCAGCATTACTAGGAATATTTTTACTTAAAAATAAGCTTTTTAATTTATTTTTTCTTTTACAACAAAGTGCATTTCAGTAGACTGACTTGTCCACTGAAATCAAGTGTCCTATTCCTTGGAACACAGTATCTGAAATCTAGTGTAACTAGAAATTTTCTTCTAAAGTACCAGTCATTTGGTTTATTAAATTTTTATTCATGCTCACTATTCAAATTTTCTTGATATTTTAGAACCTTCATAACATTTTATATTAATTTAAAGTCATTATTTTTTTTCAGACTTAACCTGTGTTTTTTTTAAATAAAATAAGTGATTTCTGAAGTGTATAAGCTGTTGTATATGCTTTTCATATTCATTCAGTCCACTTATTACTCTCCTTCCCTCTTAATCTATTTAATATGCTACAATTCATACTCGTACATCTCATATTTTGTATCATGGACTTGCAGTTTGTCTCTCTGCTTTTCATTGGTATTAATTGATTTTATTTTGTGAGTGGGAATAAATATAGTTTACAACAGAAAATTTTATTTGATAAGGTTTTTATATTTTTTATTTATTATTTGATATAACAAGGAAGATTTCACTTTTTACATCATTTTTTTCTGATAAAACTTGTATAATGACTTACCAAATATATAGATTGGATATTGCCATCACAAAATTAATGCTGTTTCTATCTTGTCAGCTATTGCTTGTGCAAATGGTGTAGTCTCATTGCTAATAGTAATTTCTTCTTTAAATACTTTAAAATGCATAATCATTAAATTTGTTTCGTAAAAATTTGTTTCAGATTTGGAGAACATTTTATAAAGCAATTAGTATGTTAATTTAAAACTGTTTATTCTTAATATTTTTGATGGACTGTTTTGTAAAACCCGTTCAGAAAGTACATGAATTTTGACATTTTCTCTTTTATTTCCCTTTTTGGGACAGCGTACAAATTATATCAGTTTGCACACATAATGGTATTAATGTACCTGCTGATCATTTTGGTATAGATCGGTTTTACATACATATGTGTAATCCAGTTATGTATGTCCTCCTCAGTGATATATACACACATGTCAATGAAGAGTTTTTTAAAGATGGCATTTTCAAGAACTCTAAAAATTAACAGGGCAATTTTAAATTAGAATTTTCATCCAATTATGTATCAAATGGTTTGATTCTAGAATCCTTAAAAATAATAAAATAAAAAAGAATGACTGTAGGCTCTCTCTTTTAGTTTAAAGAGCGGCTGATTTTTAATGCGTATGATTAGTAAGGAAAGAATGAGGATGTTATAGAGCAAACAAAACAAACAATAGATTATACACACAACTTATATTTTATGTTTTATTTATTACATTCAAAATGACATTATGTAAAATTAGTTGATGACATGAGAAATAAGACATCATTTAGGATGTCTGAAGTTGTATTCCTAATCAATTAAGTAGTCTCAGATAATTTCAATGCAGTAAACAGAAACATCTTCAAATCTCCTGAATTAATAGTTGAGCCCCGTTCACATGCAATGCACATTTGCACAGCTGCCATTAGCAAGAGGAGAAAAAGGAGACATGAAAGAGTTTCGTCCTTAGGACCCGTTCAGAAGACCACCATCTTCCTTCCCTTTACACCTAAGCCTCTGTGAACAATTATGTCTCCAAATCGGCAGATTTCTAATACTGTTTACTGTTGTTAATTTTGTAATCTGTACTTTCGTAATGGTTCCTGAAAAATGTATGCTTTTTAATTATTATTATTATTATTATTATTTTATAAGCTGTTACTTAGTTCACTCTTGGTGCTTGTCGCTATGGTTAAAAGATGGTCATGGATTTTTAAATTGCTTCCTGATAAGATATAGAACTCAAACTTTGTACATACACTGCTTGTGGATGTGGTGTCACGTTTTTGACTTTTAGAGGATTAGATTTTTTTAAAATTTAAAGTTGAAACGATTTTTTGCAAATATTAACAAACTGAGAATCTCAGAATATTATAGTTTGCACTGTTACACACTGTGGAGAAAAAAAAAAAAATAATGAAATTTTTAGCGTAATATTTTGGGAGAATTTTTGAAAATCGTTCATATTTTTAAACTTTTTGATGCCCATTAATTTTAAAATTTCATATCTAAAAATATATCAGTTACAAACTTCTGACATTTTCACAGCTTATAAAACAAACTTTTCACATTTAAAAAAAAATGATAAAGGAAATTAATTGGATGATTTTTTTACTTTTTTGAAAGATATGCAATGAAGCAGAATGGGAAATATTGATTCTTCTTGGGCATCAATTCGAAACATCAAAGTAATAATCTCATTATACCACACTATTTTTATGACATTATTTATGCTATGTAAGTTGTTATTGTTGCCAGTTGTTAGTTCAGCGTGAGATTGGAGATATTTCTGATTTAACTTTCTCTTAAGATGTGTTCACTTGTACGAGTATTTCTGTGGAAAATTCCAGAACTTTGAAATGTTTCTGCTGATAAAATTAATTTAATTAAGCTATCATCGGATCTGAGTGCAATGACAATCATTTACAAACTATTATCAATCTATTACAAACCGGTACGAACACAACATTATAATTAATTAATGTATTAAAATTGTTTTGAATGTGTTTTACAAAACAAAACCAGGTAAAGAAAAATTCTGCTTGCGTTTTATGAGTTTTTCCAATTTTTCTGGCCACATAAGGTTTTAAAAAATGGTTTGTAATTTATGTTTATATTTACCAATTGAATAAAATAGCACTAGGTTTTATTTATATATGTATGTGTGTGTGTTGAAATTCAGTAATAAAATTTTAGAGATATGAAATGATTAAATGTCTATTTAGACAGTTTGTATTCTTTAAACTGCAAATGGAAACTGAGAAACCTTTTGCATTTTTTTCAATAAATCCTTTTACTTAAATGTCCTAAAACATATACAGGTATGGACTACATTTTTTATTATTTTTACTGCTTATTTAAAATTATATACTTTATATAAACAAGGATGGATTTTGCAAAATACTGAAAGGAAAAATTATTTGAAATGAAAATGTGACTGATATCATATTTGTTTTAAAGATTTTAGATAAAAGTTTATTTTTATTTTTTATTGGAAACTAATTCATTAATTGCAAAATCAGTCCTTGAAGTTATTAAGTACACTCTAATAAATACAATAAAAAAACTGGGGGGGGAAGACATTGAAAATTGTAGGAGAAGAAAGATATTTTAATTAAAAATATTACTAGCAAAAACTTTTTTTCAACTTTAAATTATTTTGTCTCCCAAAACCATTTAATTGTATTTATAAAAAGTACATGAAAATGCATATTTTTTTTAAATAATCATTCAAAAGGTTACCGAGTCTTTTGTCGCGTTGAAGCCGATATGCACTTGTCTTAACTTTAGTTTTAATTTAAACGATATTTCTGGAATACCTAGCATCAGATAACCTTGTCTGTATTTGTCTATAATTTCCGTATCTTGTACAGTTCTATCTAATTTTTGGTGGGATGCTATCACATCCCCAGACATCTATCAGCGCGATTGTTTCGCTGACAGTCCAGCGAGAAGTAACTAAAATTAAGTGAACCGTGCAGTATAGTACGGGAAATCTCCCCATTTGCCCTGCTCCTGAGAGGTAAGGAACATTCAACCAAGTTCTACCTTCAATTCGGCGAGGTAGTTAATGCTTGTCCCACGTGAACGGGACACGTTGGAAGAACCGGTTTTCGCTACCGGTCGAATCTGCTCTTGTGAACGGGCTTTGGATGAATATATATGAATGCTGAAATAAAACAATCATGACTGTCTATTAACAATTACATCAACCATACAAGCATTGCCTACTTCTGAATCCTGTATGCTCGACTTAATAGTAAATTCTGTTAGTACACAATCTGCAACACTTGTCAAATTTCTATAAATCGCAACACCCCTAGCTTGGTGAAATAAAATAAAATAAAGTACAACAAACACCACTCAAACACACTGGCCATCTACCAGACAACCTTGCCACTCACACATGGTCACGCATAAACGCAGAGCTCTGACATCACCAAAATTTTGCTATTTTAGATGCGTCGCAATGCATATACCCTTTGCTCAATTAAAAGAAATTTTTTTTTTTGTGTTTGCTGATGTGCTCTTTCATCTATCTAATGATGTTTT